TTTTAGCTCTATATCTAATGTTGTGACATAAATTTAAAGTTTTTATTAAGCCATTTCATCTTTCTTTATTTTAGTTCTTTGAGGAAAGTAGAATTCGAATCTGTAAACCAGCATTTTGCAACAAAGAGCTTGTCCACTGATCCACCTACCTATCTCCCCAGGCGTGCAAGCTAAAGAGCAGCGATGTTCTCAACATTCAGTCTCTTCCTGCCCTGCTGCAGGATAACCAGGCCTTTCAGCTGGCAGAGCAGCTACTTTCCTCCGCCAGTGTGATGCTAAGGAGAGACGCTGACCGCCTGTGGATGGAAACCAGAGATAATGCAGGAGTTCTACCAGTGGTCCTCTTCCTCAGCATCCATGGATTGTGTTTGCTCTGCAATGCACTTTAATAGTTGTAGTGCCTGAGTGTGCACTCCCTCTCCTTTTTTATTGATTGTATTTGCACCATTTCTTTTTTTATTGTAAAATCTTATTGCATGTAAGCTTGCTATAGTTTGTTACAAGACTTTTTCATATTGTTATCATTATTACTTTTAATACATTGCTTTAGATTTGTTACAGAGCTGGGGAAAATATTTTTTTTCCTAAATATGTTTTTATTATTTAAAACAAACATTGTATAACATGTATTTTGAAAAAAAGAAATATATATTGATACATAGTGATTATTTGAAGGAGGATTTGATATATTGTGGGGCAGCCCTGATATGATATATTGTTTCATTTTCTTACTTTTCACAGAGTTTGATTAGACACCTTAGCAGGGGTCTCGAACTCCAGTCCTCGAGGGCTGGTGTCCTGAAACTTTTCCATGTGTCCCTGTTGCAACACACCTGAATAAAATTAGTAGGTCATTAGCAAGAGTATAGAACTTGATTGCATGCTGACGTGGCAACCCATAACCCTACTCAAGTATAAGTGTTTGGAAAAATGCACTTCTAAAAGTACTTTTATTGCACCAGGTTCATTCACTCATGAGCTGCTGTAACATGAATCACATGGCTGAATTGTTTCTATAGAGTCTTGCTAAGGACTTACTAATTGTATTCAGGTGTGTTGCAACAGGGACACATGGAAACATTTCAGGACAGCGGCCCTCGAGGACTAGAGTTCGAGACGCCTGCCTTACAGTAATCTGTCCTTCAAGTTCAATCCAGACGTTCTTATCTGCTAGTTTTTGGTACACAATTTTTTTTTATTTTTTAGTAAATCTCATCTTTTAGAAAATTTACTAACCAGGGATCACTTGAAAGGCGATTAAGCTAAAGGTAGTTCAGATTTCTTAGCTCAAGAAATGTTTACATGTTGATGATTTTATACAGAAGCGTAGAGCTGCCACCCAGGGAAAAGAAAAATAGAGCTATATCACATTATAACGTGAAACATTTATTGATCTAACAATATACTTTACATGTTTGTACAATATACCTTTCACATTTGAACAACATAATATCACGTTATTACAATAAACATAATTATCACGTTATAACAAAAAACCTTTTACGTTCAAACGTGATAATTATGTATATTGTAATAACGTGATATTATGTTATTCAAACGTAAAAAAGGATATTGTTCTAACATTAAAATATATGTAACAAACAAGAAAAGTATATTGTTAGATTTTTCATATCATAATGTAATATAGCTCTGTTTTTCTTTTGCCTGGCTGACCTCTACACTTCCGCAATTTTAAGCTTTTCAATTAACATAAAAAATTGAAGTTTGTTCCATGCCTATGGTATGTAAAACAACTAGCCTTTCCACATCTATGTGGTGAAAAACATGCTACATGCCAATTCATGCAAGGATTTTTAATTTTAAATGGTACGGCATTGTATTGCTGCTCATCTTAATAATCAAAATAGCATTAAACTTTTTTTTTTTACTTAAAGAAAGCTTTATTTTTAATATTCTCTTGAAGACCAGACTTTGCTAAATCAAGCTACACTATAAAATACAGTTTTGACATTTTTAAAAAGTAGTGCTTTTATTAAGAAGATCGTGTGTTTTCATATATGAACTATACGTTTTCATGACATTCCTTTTCTCATGACCTTACTGGTACTTACTTTCTAATTTATTGTTAAGAAAGACTATATTACTGGGCTTTCAAAGAAAGTGTTTTGCATGTAGTTGTCTGTATCAAAGTATATCATTTTGATAACACGGAAAGCAAAAATAAAACTTTTATATTTTCTGTGAATTGTGTCCTCCATAGAAAAATAAATGTGATGCAAGCTACCTTTTATTGTACACGTTTAGAAAAAGTAGTGCATTGGGGGATTCCTGTGTTGAAAACTATAAATGATCATCTTTTACATTTACATTTTTGGAAATCAAGAATGAGTGCGGTGTAGTCGCTGTGTATCAGTGAGGTATTGATATAGATTATTCACACCATTTCTAATTATCTTAAATTAGTGTTTACTTATTTTTTTTTTTTTACATTACAGTAAGCACCGTAACTTTCTTATAGTTCCACCATAGCTTTTAAGGTTACTATTTACTGACAGCTACAAACTGTAGGTAAGAAAGTGTTTGACATCTTCAGTGTGCTTTTTTTCATAGGTTCAAAAAGTTTCTCCAACTCTGAGATTCCAAACCACAAAGGTGTGTTGAAAGGTGTATCTTGGATTTTAGTCAGAGTTTGTGCAAATATTTAATAATTATTAAATATTCTAAGGTCTTACAAACATTAAATCTCTTTTAACTTTAACATTATTACACATTGTAGCTGTAATTTACAATTTTTTAAAAAGTGATCATTTTAGCTGAGTGAGTTATTAGTAGTTGTGACATCATTTAACAACATTTACCAAGGACTTTACCATACTTTACCAAGTACAAAAATACTACTACAATTTTCAGGTATCTGTAGTTTCTTCTCCTTACATTTTGGTCAAATAAAAGAAAATAAAAATACAGATTTTTTTTTTCCTTTGGTAAAGGTTAAATTTAAAAAATGAAATAAAATGTGTTTTTAATTTAATATAATTATTTAATTTCTTCTTCTTCTTCTTATTATTATTATTATTATTTTATATTATTATATAACTTTTGTTAAAATTAAAAAATATCTGATAGAGAAATTATCTGGTAAAGAAATTTAAAAAAAGAATCCCACCCGAAAAAAAAGACCACGTGGGACGAGTGGTGACGTAAATCTCGCGCGACCGCAGTTCAGACACGACCAGAAAATATTGCCGAGTGGAATATTAAAAGACGCCTTTTGCACCTTTTGGAAATGCCTGTGTGCAACTTCTTTCTTCAGGGCCGCTGTCGTTACGGCGAAAAATGTTGGAATGAGCACCCAAGAGGAGGAAGCAGAGGAGGAGGAGGTGGTGGAGGATATAACAACAACTACAGCAACCGCTCCTCTGGTCAGCAACAGCCCAGAAGTGGAGGTGGAGGTAGCGTCTTCGATAAGTTAACATTAATCTAAACGTACTTTCAGTTTCTTTAGCATTCTTCTTGTGATGGTTTCGCTCTCTTAGCTAGCTGTTGTTAGCCTTCCTTTACTGTCCCACTGAATTGTAGGCAAAATAAGTTTGTTTCGTGGGTATGGTATTTGAACAGTGGGCTGAGATACAAACACACCCGGCAGCCGGAGCAGGATTTGTGCTTATCTAGGTAACTTAACCATGGGGTTAACCCTGGATTTTCAACTGTGGTTCACTTCTTACTGGGGTGTGTCACCGTCATGCTAACTTATTTAGAAATGGAAGGGTAGCCTGAGTATGTTGAATTCACTTTATAGCACGGGGCCCAGTCAAAAATATCAACTCTGTTAAGTTTTAAGGATGTCAACAACTTGGCATATGGTGTTTTTTTTTTTTTTTTTTTTCCCCCAAACTTGAATGGGCATCACAGATGAGGTTTTCCTGTTATTCTGAAGCCACATGAATGCACATTTAGTATAGGAGGGATGGGTAATATTACTGTGTTGTAGTTTCTTTTCCAATGCAGTTATACAATACGCTGGAAACAAATACATATTTTACAAAGGTCAGGTGTGTGCTAAACAACAGCAATTTAATTTCATGTTACCACTTCATGAGACCTCATGGTGGTTTTCAAATAAATGAATGTAAAGCAGACAACCAGCTTTCAGTAATGCAGAAAGTCAAGGATAAAGCTATCCAGAGAGCTAATAAAGTGATTTAAACAAGGATTAAAATTGGTTAATAATGATGATGCACTATGGAGTGTATTTTACACAATTTGTAATGCTTTGTGACACTGGTTTGTGTTTTGATTCCAGGGTTTGGAAACAGAGTCTGGGTGAATCCTTCCCAGCAAAAAGGAAACTACATCCAGCCTTCGTCCTTCTCTTCTCACGGAAGTGACGACTGGGGTCATGGAGGAGGTGGGGGAGGGGGAGGAGGAGGAGGTGGTGGTGGTGGAGGGCGAAGAGAAAATGTGAAGAGCTCCGACTTTAGTTTCTCAAGTCAAAACAGATTTTCAGCTCTTAATACTCCCAGCACCTTTGACAGGGGAGGCAGGGGGGGAGGAGGAGGAAGGGCAGCGGGAGGAACAGTTGGTGATGAAGACGACGACAAAAAACTGTGAGTCTTTATGAGAAAACATAACGTTCTTTTTTTTTTTTTTTTTTAATATTTTTTATCAGTCGTAAGGAAATTATTGTCATATTTGTTATCCAGGGAAGTCATTCAGATGGACATGGATGTTTGGGAGAAGTCTGGCCAGTGGGGATTCTCGTGTTATTATAGCTTCAAGACACTTGTATCTGGTGTGTATGAGATTTTTCATTTTAAATGTATATTTTTAAAAACTGAAACACTGGACCTGAACATGTTTCCTATGTTCTGACTACAGGTTTCACTGACCTCTCCCCTGAAGAGCTCCGGCTGGAATACTACTCCACAAGACCTTCAGGAGATCTGCAGGGCTACGTAAGTGCAGTGTTCCTTAGTAATGTCATGTCTGTTTGGCTTTGGGTCAGTATTCATCTTCTTCGTGGATAGAAGCATGGCCCCAAGTCTTTTTGTTACATGGGCTTGATTATTATAATCAAGCTCTAATTTAATATCGGAAGGCAAAACGTTAAATGTGTTTAAGTATTTCTAAGAGTATAAGAAATTCCTCTTGTCTGTGCTTAGATGAATGGCATCAATCAGCTGCTCAGTCAGTGGAAAAACAGAGTCCAGGAATTGAAGATTATGAATCCAGCCACTCGTGCGGCACTGGTAAGACACACAGATCCTCACAAACATCGCTTCCCAACTTTAGATCATTTGTTACAATTCCAGAGTCCATAACTGGTCCCTAATGAGACGTGAAAACCAAACAGCACTGAGAAGATGTGTTTGAATTTTTACCATTAGGTGTGCATGTCAGCAGTGTGCAGCAATGGAAATGTCAGAATAAATTTTCGTTTAATAAAGTTTCCTTCTACTCCTCGAATGTATCGAACA